GGTTTGCTTATTAGTACGTTAATTTATAAATTAAAATTTATCGTAAGTATGTATACATATTGAAAACATAATACACGCAAATGTATCCTTATATATATATATATAGAGAGAGAGAGATAGAGAGAGAGACAGACAGACAGACAGACAGACAGAGACAGAGACAGAGAGATAGATGTGCGTGTGTGTATTTCGATAGAAATATAGTTTTACGTTGTGGTATATTTAAGATAGAAATATAGATTTAAATTGCTCAATATCAGCCTGTGTAAATATAAGATTTAAGCCAGTCTGTTTCCGGAAAAAATGCGTGTCACACACACACACACACACACACACACACACACACACACACATATATATATATATATATATATATATATATATATATATATATATATATGTGAAAAGTGAACATTGAAGTCAACACTCAGAGGCGACAGGCTGTTTCATGCTAGACGCAATCGTCAGGCCGCGAGTGTTGGATTTTTCCTCGACTATTTATAAACATGTGTCAGTTGTGCATTATGGGTAATACATTCTGGCGGGAGTGCCTTGTGTATTTGGGTTAATTTATTTTACTTGTTTTTATTTTCATTTTAATTTATATATTCTTTTCTTTTTTATTATTAACGTGGTAAAAAATTGTGGGGTGCTGCTTAGGCCGCACTTTTGTATATTTTTATATACTCTATTCGGTTTTCGATTTTTTAGTAATGTAGTAATTTTTATCGTTATATAGCAGTTATAAATATTTTTTCGTTTCATTTATTTAAAATTAAGCAGGTAGGTCATGAATGTTTGTGGAGCGTAATTTGGGATCCAGAGTCGTAGAACTAATCAGTACTGTGACGTAAGCATAGAATGTTATGACGTAAGCGATGTGTGACGTTTATTTTTGCATAATACATTAATGATATGGGCTCTTCATTTATACTTGTTTCAACTTACCTGGCAGATGTCAGAGGGTATCGCCCCCAGACGAGGCTATGCCCTAACGTCAGAGTCTTGTCTCGGGAAACTGACTCCGTTTTTACGTGGTCTCTAGGGAATTTTTGTCCGATCCTACGGGCTCGGATTCCCCACTTTAAAACTCGGCCTTGTGCCACATCTTGCTGCGTGGAACAGTGGGGAAATAATTACTTATTTTCAATTGTCGATGGCTGTTTTTGTTTTATCTCTATTGCTTCAAGGATCATATGTCTTTTTTTTTACTATTTGATATTAGTAATATTTGGTATTGTTTACGAGTAGATGTCTAAAGTTACTATGATCCTTATGCTGTTTATTAATGCATTGTCTAATGGGACGATATTCAGTCACCCCCCCCCCCACGAGGGTGTCATGTGGCACAAGCCCTTTTTAACGTGGGCATTCCGAGCCCGTGGGCTCGGCCAAAAATATGCCCATTGAACCCGTATAAACGGGTTAGGGCCGGTTTTACCTCCCCGAAAGAGACTCCGCCCTTCGGCGTAGCCTCCTTCGGGTTCCCCCCGCCCGTAGGAAGAGAGTTCAACCGAACAGACTGACTAATGGGACTGTGACAAGTGAATCTCCGAGAAAGTATAGTTGTGGTATGGTATGGTTGTCCAATGTAAAACGTTTTGTGTTTATTATTTACATAAACACATTCACCGAGTGGAGATGTATTACGACATAATATTGGTCTTATGTAAGGGGTGGAAGCTTGGGGTATATTATTTTTAATAACTCAGTTCATAGTTTGTATTTTTGTAGTAGATAATAAATCTAATGTATGTATGTTTATCGATTAGTTTGATATATCCATGTAGGACGTCTTTTATTGATGTTTCTTCATTTTGGGAATTGTGGTGCATTTTATTTAGCCATATATGTCTAAAACGATATGCGAGGTGGTTTAATAAATAACAGCTTGAAATAGGAAATCGCAGCGCCGAGTTCGAATTCCAGTCGGTTTCTATTATTCTTATGTGCAAATGCTCTAGGTATGTATCCGTATCTCTCTCCCACACGCGAGAATATGGGTTGAATAACAGGACAGACTGGGTCCTATAGCCTTCGTTGGTAACCAGTCTATTGCAGGAAGAAACAGTAACCTACAGCGGGAAAATCTTTTGCCAAGTCAGCCATGAATTGTAGAGATATGATCGTCCAAGCCTGTGTCACGTATCGCACTTAACTGATTGAATATATGTTAATAGGGTTATTGTTATAATCTAGGGAAGGTTGGTAATGAACGAATAATATTTAGGACAAGAACAACACATATAAGATTCGCTATCGGCGCGTAAAATTAGTAGTCAACTGCTAGAAGTGAGTCAAGTGAATTACACAATGAATCACTAACTGAAGGATATCTATATATAACAAGATCGGGTAGATGTTTCCCCAGGCGAGACAGAGCCTCGTCTAGGGATCCTCTCTGCTCGGAGGCAGAGAGTTTCACCAGCACAGCTGGAGACGTATCTCCAACTGCAGGATATCTACCAACCGAACCACGCGGTTAGATGTGGCACGAGACCGAATTTAATGTGGGGTATCCGAGCTCGTAGGCTCGGCCAAAAATTCCCCGTAGACCCGTATAAAACGAGGTTGGTTAGCTGTTTCCCGAAACGAGACTCTGCCCTTCGACATAGTCTCGTCTGGGGATCCTATCTCCTCTGAGGCAGAGAGTTTAACCAACATGACTGCAGCCCAACATACAGTATTTACTACTGCATTTATGTGATATGGCATACCCATTATCGTCCGAGGATATGCTATAACAGTTATTGTCAATATTAAGCTTATGACTGCAGTTTATATTATTAAAATTATTGTTTCAATTAATTTTGAATTGCATGTCGACGATTTAATTAGTGCACCTATTGTTGATATATGATTTGTATATATATATATTATTTAATTGCTTACGGGAAATTATTTCAGATGAAGGAATAAATCTAGCTCTTTAGATTAAGTTATTACTGATAGCAGTTTTATATTTTTCAGGGCATTCAATATTGTAGTTTAGAAGGCAAGAATTAGAACTCTTGGTCTTTTTATAAAGAAATGTGGTAAATTGTTAGAGTGAATGAGAAGATATAAAATTGGGATTTTTTTTTATAGATATTTAGTTCATAATCGCTCATAAATTGAACAACTAGTAAGATGTCGAACATAAAATGTTTTGCTGCCAAAAGAAATGTATTGTCGTCTCTCATACGCGAATTCTTCTACGCTGATGACTGTAATCTTGTTGCTCACCCACAGAGTGACAGGCAACATTTTATGGATTATTTCACGGTTTCATACATCGCGCTGGGTCCAACACTTAGCTTGAAAAAGACCCCCATAAAGTAAAAACCTGCTGCAGATAAAGCATACTTTGAGGAAAGCATTTATTTACGTATGTGACCCCAAATAGCAGTTTATGGAAGGATTCGTGCCTTTAGACATTACTGTAAATATGACAAATACGGAAGGCGGTAAAATGTCTTTCCGAATCAAGAAGGTCAATAATGCTTTCAGGAAAGTGGATGGACGACTATTATCTCAGCGTGGAATTCTGATTGAGAAGTTGTTAATCTGATTTTTTTTTTTTTTTTTTTACGTCAAACATTTTAAAAGTTATTTAGATCCAGAATATATTTTTAGATTGGAAGAACTTTTTGGCGATAATAATGATTTACTGATAAAAGTGTTTCTAATTAACTCACAGCTGAGGGGAGAAGCGATGGATTCATACCCTTTCCCAACGTTATTTGCGCGTAAGTAATTATAATGAACACGATTGGAATTGGAACTCGGCTATGCGATGTACAGTTTCGAGCCGTTATCCATTACACTATTTGTACATACAAGCTTATAAGCACCTGGAATTTACAAGCGGTTAAAACAAAGTTGAAGGTCTAAAACACTTGTGATTTGTTTTCGTCGTTGCATGCATGCGAGGCCCAGGTAAAGTACGGAAGACGCATAAATGGAGAGATGTCACCAACTGTGTTAACGCAATATATTGCGTACTAGCGGCATGGCCCGGCGTTGCCCGTGCTTGATTCAAAAATCGTACGACTCATACAGCAATCGCTATCACTTGACTTAAAATATTTTTGCCCTTCCTTGCCTTTAAAGGGAGCCCTTTGCCGTGCTGATGTTGCTACATGCCTTACTTCTTGCCTATCTCACACTGCGAATTTTTTCTAAGCTCTATACTAAACATTAAATCTGTTGTGAAAAAAGAACTAAACAAAATGAACACAAAACGATCAGCTTTAAAAAATGACACGTAACTGGAAAAAACGGATGAAAAAAGAATGTTAACAACAAATACTTTTTCACACGCAACCCAGTTCTGCGGAATCAGAATCAACGTTGAGTTTAAGCAAGCGAATGAGCCAATTGCAGTAAAGTGCCATGCAGATTTAAATTTTTCCCACTTATGACGAATGCAGCCATCGATTTTTTTTTTGCATGCTAGCATGCTAGTTAACATTCGTGTCAGTCAGCTGTTGGCTCTCACGCTGGCCAATAGAATCTTCCTGCCTATTCGTGGCAGCCAGCTATTGGCTCTCACTCTGACCAGTAGAAAATGGCGGCAAACTACATGAAAACTGTCGTAGAAGCATGAAAAAATCGATTATTTCCACTATCGATGGGAGTTGGGAAATGCAAAGTCGGTGTTGGCCTTCTCGCTAACTTGGAGCGTGTGCATGTAAATTTTGGTGCAAATCCGTCGATAATTGCGACCGTGCATTCGTTACACATACACAAACACAAACACACACACACACACATCCTGCCTTTTATAGATAGAAATTCGGTGGAAAATGTTCTTGAGTGACGTTGATATCCTCAAACGTAGTCAGTTTACCGGTATAAAATCTCTGGTACTACATCGTCGGTTGCGATAGAAAGCTCTTGCGGTCGGGATTAAGGATGACAGTAAGATGGCTGAAGGGAAAAGACCTGTTCCCAAGCCGAAATTGAGATATAACAGTTCCATCAAGAACACACTGAATAAGTTTAATATCCTGCAAATGTCACTGCGCGGCAGCTTGCATCACCCGCGCGGCAGGCACGCTGCTCGCTTTGTCTTTGCTTCGACGGACCGGAGCGAACCACCGCGCCCGGCAGCCAGCGCGCCCGTGCGGCAGACAGCCGTCGTTGAGCAAAGCAGTGAACAAGATAGACGTTTGACAGAATCGTTTCGAGCATGAAAAACTCAAGAGTGGTACGAGTAAAGGTTCTTGACGTTAGCTTCTCTAGAGGTTTGATAAAACCTATAATGAATGGGGTCGTGTCAGTCCAAGTAAGACAGGGATCAAAACCCGTCAAAGACGACACGCATACAGTGCAGTTATTCCTAAAATGTTGTGTGGTATTTATATATCTCTATCTATAAACGGCGGGATGTGTGTGTATGTGTATGTATGTGTGTGTGTAACGAATGCAAAGCCGCAATTTTCAATGGATTTGCACCAAAATTTACATACACATGCTCCAAGTTAGTGGGAAGGCCAAGACCGACTTTGTATTTCCCAACTCCCATCGATAGTGGAAATAATCGATTTTTTCATGCTTTTACGGCAGTTTTCATGTAGTTTGTGGCCATTTTGTACTGTCCAGAATGAGAGCCAATAGCTGGCTGCCACGAATAGGCAGGAAGATTCTAATGGCCAGCGTGAGAGCCAACAGCTTACTGACACGAATGTTAACTAGCATGCTAGCATGCAAAGAAATCGATAGCTGCATTCGTCACAAGTGGGAAAAATTTAAATCTGCATGGCACTTTACTCCAATTGGCTCATTCGCTTGCTTAAACTCAACGTAAAGTCGGTCTTGTTCTTACCGCTAACTTGGAGCATGTGCCTGTAAATTTTGGTGCAAATCCGTCGAAAGTTGCGGCCGTGCATTCGTTACACACACACACACACACACATACACATCCTCCCTTGTATAGATAGAGATAAATCTTTTGTTAATATATGGAAAAACTTGTGAATGTTGTAATTAAAATAAGAAAAAAAAGCATAGGAATTCTAGAATCATTCTTTTTTGTTACGTCGGTTAGAAGTGTACTTCTATTTTGTTTGAAAACCTTAGTAATTGATTTTTTGATAGTTTTAAGTGGGTAATTCCTAAGTTATTGAATAATTGTCCTGTGTATATGTCGTAATCTCCATTCTGTGAATAGATACAATTTATGCGTAGACCTTGGATAAAGATAAATGATTCTTTTAAGTTGGTGGGAGTGGCAGCTATTGAAATTCAGGTAGCAATGAGCATTTGTCGGTTTGGTGTATAGTGTAATGGAGATGTGCTTGTTGCTTAGACGTACCAGTAATATCCAGAAACAGAATAGGGGTAATGAATATTCGAATGTGAGTTCGATGGTGTAGTGGAAACTTTTGAGGTGTTTTTAAAGTCTCGGAAACTATTCTCTCCGTGTGTCCATATAAAAAAGATACCATCTAAACATAGTTTTGTTGTTAATATATCGGTATCTCACGTGGTATGACGTCATAGAACCGCATCATAAATTTAAGACCTGCGTCTGCTATTCCGCGACCGTTATCATCGCATAGACAGCTTCTATATAAACATTACAGATATCATTTTGATGGGGAATATCATTGTTGAAATGTTCATTTGACCACCCTGATGATGGCTCATATGAGTCGAAAGCTTACAGAACAACATAATAAAAGAATAAGCAAATGTTACACAGTTTTTGTCTTTATCTCTCCGGAAATTAAAGCAATTATACGAAGCTTAGAACGGATCATCTGTGGTGACTATTCAATATATCTCGTTTCAGGGAACCCAGGAATATCTTTGCATAGATCGGAGTCATTTTCTTCCCTATTGCCGTGCCTCTGACTGAAGAAAATGGTGCCCGTAAAACTCGAAATTATTGTGTGCGATTATAAATTGCCTAATGTTTTCGAGTATGGAGTGTTACCGAAGTCCTCTGGCACGTAAAAAATCCTTGTAGGATAGAATTCCCTCTTTGTGTGGTATGTTAGAATACAGCAATGTCACATCCATGATCGGATCGAACTGGCTGTTAACTTATCTATATCTTTCAAAATCTTAAGAAATGGGTAGCGTTTTTTTATAGTTTGGAATTATGGGTAATAAAGGTTTGAGGATTTGGTCAATGTAAACTGAAATGTGTTGTGTCAGGGTACCAATTTTTGAAACTATCCGTCAGTTGGATCTTAAGAGATGCTATGAGATCATGCATCTTGCTTGAGTTTCTATAAATGTTCTCTGTCTATAGGTTGGTGTTTGTATCTGTGATTACTTTAACTTATACAGGGTGCAATTGATAAATTGTGGCTAAGTTACGCAGAAATAAAAATAACACTGATATCTCATTTTAAAAGATATATTTATCGAAATTACACAGAAATATCTTGAAATACTAAAGAGCAAATTTATTCAATAAAATGACCATTGGATTCAACCACAGCCTTTCGAGGACTTCAGAATCTCCTGTAACACTTCAGGATGGTCTCCTCGATTAAGTTGGTGAATGCTGTCATATTCCTTGCCTTCATTTCACCTTTGGTGTTACAACGAGTTTTGTTGGTCTCTCGTTCAACTCCGACCCACACATAATAATCAAAGAGGTTGCAGTCTTGGGAGTTGGCTAGATATAAGGGGTGTAGTCGCAGAAATTGTCTGACAGCTATAATTGGGTTTTCCTGTATGAGTGGCATGGTACGGAGTCCTGTTGCCAGACATATGGTCTTCTTACAGTCACTCACTTAACCCCGGCCAGCACTAGCTCTTTGTTATGGGACCTTACCCATAATAACATAATAGACTATTCCATACGTAATAAATACTGCGCCTCAAGAGGAAGCAGGGAGTTCAGTCCGAAGTCGGGCGACCGGCTAACCGGCTGATCGGTTGAACTCTCTGCGTTCGGGCGGGGAGGAAACCGAACGAGGCTACGCCGAAGGGCAGAGTCTCTTTCGGGGAGGTAAACCGACCCTGAACCCGTTTATACGGGTTCAAAGGGCATATTTTTGGCCGAGCCCACGGGCTCGGAGATCTCACGGGCTCGGAGATCCCATGGGCTCGGAGATCCCACGTTAAATCGGCCTTGTGCCACATGATGCCCTCGTGGGGGGGGGGTGACTAAATACTGTTCCATCTGAAGTCTGGAGTTCCGTCTGAAGTCTAGAGTGAGGACCGTCAGGAGTCTATCAGTTAGTCAGAGCGAGTCAGTCAGTCGAGTCAGAGGCAGTCCGAAACAGAGTCGCGTTCAGATAATTACTACTAAACCTGGTTGTTCGTACTAACACTTTGTACTTCTCTGTATATATTCCTGTTTGTAATATATCTGTGTTATTCCATATCCGTATTCGAGTTCTTCTTTATTGGTTCTACCTTGGACTATCAACTTGGTACAAGGAACCGGACCATAACACTCTTCAATGCAATTAATGTACGCCTCTGTCGAGTCCGATTCCCTCACCAACAAATTCAGGAATTCTTTTCTTATCAGACCGATCAGAGAGAGTTTTTTCGAGCTGCCGTACCTTCATAATCACAATTAGACTCATCCAATTCTTTCTGAATCCTCTGCACTGTTCTCATATGCATACCCAAACACTCTTTGTATTGAAGCTTCCGGTGTGAATGCCAAGCAGAACAGCATGCCGTTCCTGAATTTCTGGTGGAGTGAATTGCATCATGTTGCTCTTTTTCTCATAGACGGTGCCCAACTGACCCTACTATACTGTGCAATCGACAAAATCAAAAACAAATAGTCCTGGGTATGATGATAAACTACATCCTATACCAAGGCCTCTGATCGGGAGATTGGTTGTTTTGAGTGGCCTTGGAACCACCTCTTAATTGCTGTTGTTCGCAGGTCTACTCTTACCAGGGGTGGTAGCTCCTGTGAGGGTCAGAGCTATGAGCAAAGGGTGTACCACAAACTAAAAGGAAACACTATGAACGTACAAAAAATACATTTTTGTAGTAAAAATACCAGCAATTCATATGATAAAATGACTAAAAATACATTCTATTTGCAACTGTGTTCAGCATGTATTTAGTTGAAGCCATAAAATTGCGTTCAAAATATGTAGTTTTTGGGGTTAAATGATCCAGACCAGTTGATATGCCGCTAAACAAAATCAACCAACCAACAATTAAAAAAAATAAAATAAAATAACGCGCATGCGCGAAATAAAATAAAGTAAAATGGCGAAATTTAAACATAGCACACTTTATATATATATAGGGAAACGATATATAATTTTCTTTATATTAGAATAATTTACGAAAAACATATGGCAACGTGGAAATAATTTTAGCAAACATCAGTTAAGTCTGATGACGTCCTAAAGTACGAAAAGAATCACAGGATTTTTTAATACTTTGTCACACATTTTCTCAACATAATAATAATACAACACTAAAGAATAAAAAAAACGCAACATGCTCATCGAAATATCAACTATGAACACGGCCACAATATGCTAATCGTGTTTGTAATATAAAAGAAACATTCCCATCATTACAGATACACATATATAAAGATATAAATAAAAAAAATAAACATCCTTGACAATGGTTAATAGAATAACCGAAAGGGTTCATGTTTATTTAACTTATGCGGACTATTATCCTTATCTTCATTGCTATCAACGTTTCGGCCGCTGTACGTTACGGCCTTCTTCAGGGGATTGGAATTTCGAACTGAACGCTTTATATCATCCACCGGTGTAGATTAGATCCAGGTGCCATTCCTGATATCTCAGATATTTCCCTTTAACTCAATTCTCCAAGATTCTTGGTTTGCCACAACTGTAGCCTGGTACTGAACTGCCAACTCCCAACTCTTTGAGTTTAGTCATTGGATCCACTAGGGTATGTGTCCTTGTAGACAGCTGTTTATGAATTTCTGGGACTTATAAAACTAATGTATCAGCAACCGATTATTACCAGTCCTCATATTGCAATTTTTCGGTAATTATATTACATATTTTTTTTACCAGAGATTATATTATAATTTTTGTGTTATTATTCATTGCTTTTCTCTAGCACTCCTTATTACTGGTTCCCATACTGTATTCATTTCTATGATTGGTCGGCTCAGAAATTTTTTTGGCTTAGCGTATGTGCTGATTCCTTAGGTTTTCGTATTTTCTAGTGATGTTTTCAGTCTATTATTTCACACCCCTAATTGAATTGAAAAAATAAAATCATCCTTGATAATTGCTAATGATATAGCCGAAAGCGCTAGGAATTATAGAACATTTGGAAGCTTCTGCACACGCTGTGTCCAAAAAAGAAAACACTTGTTCGGACACAAGAAAAATTGAATAAGAAGCTTTACCGTAGTACCTTGCCTGTCTATTTCAACATACATATATATATATAACTATTTCAACATACATATATATATATATATATATATATATATATATATATATATATATATATATATATATATATTTCAACACTGAAAGGGTGGGACCGAGATGCCAATCTAGTTGCATGCCTAAATTCACGTAGTTGTGGCATCAGGAAAAAAAGCTCGTCAAAGCATATGCCATGAAAATATTAATAGAAAAGACTGAGTGACTCCACAGTAGGTGACTGAGGTCGAGATGCCAAGTCAAGACCGATTACATTGCAGATCCTTCTTTGGATTTTGTCAAGAAACTCGAGAGAGCAATCACCAGACCAGATATGGCAACAGTATTCAATGCAAGGACGAATGGTAGATTCGTAAATGTGCAAGACGAATTCTGACGAGAAAAACCTTCCAGCACGAAAGAGTGACCCAACTTTCCTTGCAGTAGATGCAGCTATTGATTCGATATAATCGTTCCACTTCAAGTCAGTTGAAAACGTGAGGCCAAGAAGGCGCTGCATGTTGCTTTCCAGATGTTTACCTGAAAAACCGTAAATATTGCTTTATGTATCCTAATTCTAGTTTGTCTATGTCGGATTTAGATGATAATGTATATTCGTAAGTGTGAGTGTATGTGAAATATACATTATGTCCGTCGCAACTTGATTTAGGAAAGTTTTAACTTAAACACCGTTTTTATCAGATAAACATACATTAGATTCTTTAAGAATGAATCCAATAATGGTTGCTGATGTAATATAATGTTTTTGACGTATGTTTATACTTGTTAATATATTTATTAGTAATCCTTCAAAGTACTTTCGACGTAAAGTAGCTGAAAATCATCATTCTACTTTTTGCATTAATGAAAATCCAAAACCGCTTGAGCCACCAATATATATATATATATATATATATATATATATATATATATATATATGCATGTGTGTGTGCGTGTGTGTATTAGTGGGTGAAGGGGTCGTAGATTTTCACTAATCTAAGGGGGTTGAATGATGCTTTTCAGTACAAATAATTCCTCTTCATAGTCTAATACACAGCCCTCGTTTATGTGGCCCCGAAGTAGGCTAAGATGGTAGGAGGAAAAATCCGTAGACTTATACCAAATTAGCCTAAGATAGCGAAAGGGGGCGGGGGGAGATCATGACATGACTGAAATATATAAGTAGATTTGAAGTAACTTAGATAGATAGATAGATAGATAGATAGATAGATAGATAGATATGAAGGATTTTACATGAAGTAGATAGATAGATAGATAGATAGATAGATAGATAGATAGATATGAAGGGTTTTACATGAAGTAGATAGATAGATAGATAGATAGATAGATAGATAGATAGATAGATAGATATGAAGGGTTTTACATGAAGTAGATAGATAGATAGATAGATAGATAGATAGATAGATAGATATGAAGGGTTTTACATTAAGTAGATAGATAGATAGATATGAAGGGTTTTACATGAAATAGATAGATAGATAGATAGATAGATAGATAGATATGAAGGGTTTTACATGTAGATAGATAGATAGATAGATAGATAGATATGAAGGCTTTTATATGAAGTAGATAGATAGATAGATAGATAGATAGATAGATAGATAGATAGATAGATATGAAGGGTTTTACAGATAGATAGATAGATAGATAGATAGATAGATATGAAGGCTTTTATATGAAGTAGATAGATAGATAGATAGATAGATAGATAGATAGATAGATAGATAGATAGATAGATAGATAGATTTCGCACTAAGCTACGCGTTCATTTCAGTCTAGGAAACATTATCTCTTTTTAACGCCTATATGATTAATGTAACTTGATACGATTTCGTAAAGAAGGTCTCCATGCAATACACTGAAGTGCTGAAAGTCAACACGCGAAGAACAATTTGGTAGATTCAACTACGCTGGCCATACCGTCGATGTAACAATTTATCGTTATAGAAGAAGAGAAAAAGAACACTTATTGACTGATGTTATACAAGCATTTCGTATTAAGCCAATCGTACTTTATTTAGAAAAGGGTTTGCGATGCAGAACCTACTTTTGTTAATTGTGTCTTCGTCTTTCAATTCATATCCGAATGCTTTCATGCAAATATGAATTTACCGAAAGCGCTTTACAAAGAATCAGATTGCGAACGGTATAGCGAGACAAAGAAAATATGACATATCTATTTATAAGGCATATAAGCACTTATATCTATTTATAAATTATGTTTAGACAGCATGTATTCATCATTTAACAGGTTTGATTAAAAAAGAACAGGAAAGGTGTGTGTCTTTAATTTTATATCTTATTTTTCCTATTTTCGATTAAGGTGTTGTTTATTGTGACTGAGACAGATCAAATTTTATGTTGTCTTGTTTTCCTCAAGTAATTCCAATCGTCTCAGTGATTTATCAGAACCAATGTCGTGTTTGTGTGCTAAGTAGAATTTATTTGTCGAAATCCTGGCATTTTTTGAAAGCCAAACACTTGAAATAATCTATGGTGATGTCATGCATAATAGATTTGGAGCGAGACCAAAAGAATGTGATTTTACATACATACGTATACATATATACGTACATAAATATACATACGTATATATATATATATATATATATATATATATATATATATATATATATATATATATACTAGCAGCATGACCCGGCGTTGCCCGTGCTTGATTCAAAAATCGTACGACTCATACAGCAATCGCTATCACTTGACTTAAAATATTTTTGCCCTTCCTTGCCTTTAAAGGAGTGCCCTTTGCCGTGCTGATGTTGCTACATGTCTTACTTCTTGCCTATCTCACGCTGCGAATTTTTTCTAAGCTCTATACTAAACATTAAATCTGTTACGAAAAAAGAACTAAACAAAATGAACACAAAACGATCAGTTTTAAAAAAGGACTCGTAACAGGAAAAACAGAATGAAAAAAAGAATGTTAACAACAAATACATTTTCACACCCAACGCAGTTCTGCGGAATCAGAACCAACGTTGAGTTTAAGCAAGCGAATGAGCCAATTGGAGTAAAGTGCCATGCAGATTTAAATTTTTCCCACTTGTCACGAATGCAGCTATCGATTTTTTTTGCATGCTAGCATGCTAGTTAACATTCGTGTCAGTCAGCTGTTGGCTCTCACGCTGGCCAATAGAATCTTCCTGCCTATTCGTGGCAGCCAGCTATTGGCTCTCACTCTGGCCAGTAGAAAATGGCTGCAAACTACATGAAAACTGCCGTAGAAACATGAAAAATCGATTATTTCCACTATCGATGGAAGTTGGGAAATGCAAAGTCGGTCTTTGCCTTCCCACTAACTTGGAGCATGTGTATGTAAATTTTGGTGCAAATCCGTCAAAAATTGCGGCTGTGTATTCGTTACGCGCACACACACACACACACACGCACACGCACACGCACACACATCCTGCCTTTTATAGATAGAGATATATGTATATTTAAATAAAAAGAAAGAGCAGTAAGATATGTATTTTCTCTGTATCCTTGGTAACCGTAAATTATGAATTTCCCTCAGTAAATTTAAAAAAATAAGTTCCTCCAAAAGTCGTTTGAGGGTGAAATGGAACTAATGTTTTTAATTTAATTACAAAATTAAATTTAAATTTTTTAGCTTCCATTTTCGAAACATGGTTATTACTGTGTAATGAAAAAATCATCATATTTTAAATTTATTAATTTATAATATATATATATATATATATATATATATATATATATATATATATATATATATATATATATATATATTAGAGTGTGTAGTTTATATTACAGAACTAATTTGGCAAATTAATATACAACCGTTAAATAAAAAGCACACATAAGATGTTAATAATACCAACTAATCAAAGTAAGATATGAATTATACTAAGTAAACACCTGTACATTCATATAAGATGTTAATAATACTAACCAAATATCGATAAAAAGCAATATTAAATCAAAATATATAATACATATAGAATAGTAAGGCATATAAGGTGCATAACAGTTCATCTATTGATTATTACTACAATAAAAAGTATTATCAATTCAAAGTTTAAACATATTGTAGGGTAAAGACTAAGCTATGCTTACCATTCACATGCTATTCACTTCTTTGGTTTAATAAGGAGTTTTTTATCAGAAAATCTGATAATTTCTAATTTTTCCTTTAGGCCTAGAGCACAGGTTTCAATATAAGATCTACATGTTCTAGATTTTTTTAAATTTTCCATTTTACTTTAGGAGATTTATTAGCTTCTTTTAAATTCCAAAATATTTAGAAAGAGATGAACTATTTTTATTATTACTATTGGTGAACGATAAGACATGTTGGTACCACCCAGACTTTAAAGAATTCTTAGTACTACCAATATAAACTTTTTCAACAGTTAGATCCTTTATTGTAGAAATAGTAGTTAGATAAAGAAGAGAGTTGGTTAAACATCTATTTTGTAATGGGCCTCTAATGATTAGAATACCTGCAATTGTTTTTCTTAGCTTCATTAAGCACAGAGCTAAGAAAGACTATGACTACAGAGCACAAAAAAGGTCAACAGGAAGAGAAATATCATATAGTTCAACACACCGTACAGAAAAAATGTTCACTTTTTATATTTATATTTACATACGCTCTATCAGTGATATTGACCACTTCATCCTATAAATATAGCACGCATTTAAACAATATATATATATATATATATATATATATATATATATATATATATATATATACGGATTTAGCAGAATTTTTTTCCAAATCGCGTAAAAGCAAAATTGTCCAATTGTTAGATTAATCTTAGGACCGTTGCACATTAGAAATGATTAAAGATAATCCTCGAGATTTATATAAAACTTTTGGACGCGGAGTAATAAGAATGCGTAATTACTCTGAAAGCTTAACAGAAAAATCGTGATTAAATTGATCATAAACGAAAATGACATATTCATTATTATTTAATGTTAGCAAAGGATTGGAAACACATGAAGCTTTGAAAAAATTAATATATATATATATATATATATATATATATATATATATATATATATATTATACTAGGATCATTTTCCGATTTATTCAAGATGATCTCCGCCCTCTCTAACCTTCTAACTTTTTGTCCTGGAGTAACAAGTTATATCACAGGTTTCACGTACGATTTCATTTTCAAGTCTTTTTTTCACTACTCTTTGAACTGTCATAGCTGAAACTCTTCTATCACGTGCCAAATGACTTATGGATTGAGTTGAATCTTTTCAAATTGACCTCTTTAGCCCTTCCAGCTGTGATCTCCTGATCCAGTATTCTTCTCTATTGTTCTCTCTTTTTAAAACTTATTCACCGTTCTCTGGATGGTTCTTGAATAGACATTGAAGATAGAAGCCAGAGTATGAATATTGGTACCATTACTGAAAGCTTGAATGATCTTTTTTCTTCTCACCATTGTTCATTTGGGAAGACAGTGGGATTGACACAAAACGATTTTAACCTGTTCTATTTGTAACTGAATAATTCAAAGGATTTTTAGTGATTGTTACGACAAATGGTGTCAAGATAGCTAAACGTCTTTTCTTTCGTCCCAGTATATATATATATATATATATATATATATATATATATATATATATAATTGTATATTTCGTCTGTAATTCTTCTTTCATGCCAGTTTCATTAAAAACAATTGACAATGTACTGTGATTTAGTTATTATTTATTTTTTCTTGTCTTCTTAAAATTTCTTTTCTGGACAAACATTATGTAGAAATGGTTCGAATATTCTGTACGTCCGATCGCTTTCGGCCATTCTTTTAGCCATTGTCATGGGTGATTTTATTTTAAATTTTACAGAAAAGAAGAACATTATAAGAAGACAAGGAAAATTAAATAAAAAAACGCAACCACAGTAACTTGCCAGTCAAAACCAGCATATAGATAATTAAGGAGGAGAAATGATCATAATTATTTAATTCCTCGAGCCTAGAAGAAACCTCAGCAGAATGCAATTTCGTCCTATATTTAGGACTTATCATCAGAATTGAAACCCGAACAGTTACGATAGGAGGCAAACGCCATACCAGCTGTACCAATTGGCCTCGGTGACGGAAAGGTAACGAATTACACTCGATATAGCGCCGCTCGATAACATAATCCGTGGTGGAACTCATCCGAGTTTCTCTTTAGCCATAGGACTGTGTCTCCACGAGCTACGACTACTATCCACAAGCCGCTCAATCCAGAGCATTAGAAGCCGGTTCATGTAAGGATATACAGATAGAAATAATTAGGATATCTATCTATCTATCTATCTATCTATCTATCTATCTATCTATATATATATATATATATATATATATATATATGTGTGTGTGTGTGTGTGTATATATATATATATATATATATGTATATGTATGTATAATAAGATAGATAGATATAGATAGATAGATGAATAGATAGATAGATATAAACTAAAATATCTTACTTCCAATTGTAAAGAGAATTTGCCCTCTTTCATTAAAATAAACATTGAACGCTCTTTTTTGAGTCAGTTTTAACATATTTCAAATTCCGTCGTGTTAATAGGACTCATCTGGATTATACCAACGTATTATTACCTGTATATATATATATATATATATATATATATATATATATATATATATATATATATATATATATATATATATATACGTATGTATGTATGTATGTATGTATGTGTGTGTTTATAATGCAAGATTCTCCGATGAAAAGAATCGAGTTCTCCCGGTCACTGGCGTCTTTATCTAAAAATAAATACGATTAAATTCACCGCTATCTATATCTTGTGCCAATGGCTTAGTGGTAGATTATCCGACTGATGCCAAATCTGTCGGATTTCGTTCCCGGCTTAAGGCAATCGATTGTCTTGCTTCACTGATGACCTGTGAAACATAGGGACTGTCTGTATATGTAATATTATTGGTTTTATTTTTAATCCAACGTTTTTATTACTTCAACGTTATAGTAGAGGACACTTTTTATTTAAAACAGATGTCACGTTTTTATTTATTAAATAGTGTGTATTACGTCTATCGGCCTGCCTATACGAGAAATCTGAGTAAAGAAAAAAAAATCTCCTCCTATAGGGATCGAACCGCTTGAGCCGGCATGCTTTACCGATGAGTTACGAAAGGCGCTATTTTCAGTTTTTATTAAAAACTTCCCTCGGATTATCAAGATTAATCAGAGCTAATCTTCTTTGAAACATTAATATTTGTTAATTTAATTCTTTAATCATGTTTGCAAGTCAGTAAACACAACATTTATTGTCATTTAAAGAGTGGATACATCTTTTGTGTATGTATATATATATATATATATATATATATATATATATATATATATATATATATATATATATATATATATATATATATATATATATAAATGACAATTGGAAAAAAATCTTAGATTTTGCCGACGCGTTTCGTCTTCCGACATTTTCAACATTTAGTTACATTAAAAAATTCAAATTTAAAAAGATAGACGCTTCTGTCTAAGCTTTTTTTTTCTGGTTAATGTAAATTACCTTTATAATAAGAGATTTTTTTTCCCATGTCGACAATATAGATAAATTCCCAGATCAATTCTGTGGACAAGACATCTACCTTTTTAAATTTGGATATTTTAATATAACTATAACAACAAAAACATTTCGATTTCATTTTTGCCTTGAAAAAGTCGGAAGACGAAACACGTCGGAAAAAAAAAACTAAGATTTTCTTACATTTTATACCAGTCTGTTTTGTCCAAAGAATTGATCTGGGAATTTAACTATATATATATATATATATATATATGTGTGTGTGTGTGTGTGTGTGTGTGTGTGTGTGTGTGTGTGTGCTTATGTGTGTGTGTTTTGTATGTAATATTGTAAATTTGCCAAAGATTCTTGAACTTGATTATATAATCAGCTGTATTAACAATTATTTGAGACTTATCATTGAGATCTTTCTTGATGACCTCAGTATAAATGCCCCAATGGCAGATGAAACTGTGTTTACTTCAGTGGAAGTGAACCTTTACTAGTTCAGATAGATAGATAGATAGATAGATAGATAGATATTGACAAGTTGAGATAGAAAGTTATAAACAGGTTTAGGTTGAGGGCTAGATATATATGAACGGGTTTAGATAGGTAGATAGACAGAGATGGACGGGTTGAGGCAGACAGATATAAACAGGTTGAGATAGATAGATAGATAGATAGATAGATAGATTGTAACAAACATTAGAATATGTTCTTTTTACCCAATTAAATAATCTGTCCAAAGTTTATTCAAACTCGTCGTCAAATTGCTTCGGGCGGGGATCGATCTTCTGACTCACCAATTAGCAATTATCAGTTCCAACTCCTATACTTCTGCCAGAATATTTGAAATCTTTGCTGGAAGGATGAAAAACTTTAAGCGTTTCTGTCTCATTTAAGTGGATATGAAATGTCGCGTCTGGGCAGCAATCACCTCTCGAACGCGCCATCTTTGTTGAAATGTTAAGGAATATTTTCTGGTTGTCGCCTGCCTGACGTTCCCCAAGAATATCAAATAGGAGAAAACTGATTTAAATGCTTATATTTCTCATGTTGGCTGTGTATTTCTAACGTTTTGTTCAGATTGTATGGATTTTTTTAATACACATAATAGTAGTCGTCGTAGCAATAATAGTAGTAGTAATAATAAAGAACGCCATCATTAATTTTTCTCAGATGTTAACTAGCTAAAACGTACTTACTTGGATAGACGATAATGATACATTTCTCATATCGAAACCTTGGTAATGCATTTTAAAATCTCCCTATATCTAAATATTTGTGATAACACCCATCCCCAGGATATAAAGAGATTTTTTAAAAATTAATTCTATTATAATCTAATCGTTGTACAGGCGAAACAAACACGGTTTTAAATCATCCATACGTTTAATTTGTATTTATTCAACTCTGGGCTTAGTCAATAAATATATGTGTGTGTTTTTTTGGGTTTTTTTTTTCCAAATATGGAGTCTTCTTCTTACGTCACTGTGAAAATCTATCTATCTATCTATCTATCTATCTATCTATCTATCTATCTATTATGGTAATTTACCCACGCATGCATGGGCTCTCCCAGCTATAACTAGGAGCAGGTACTGCCTTTTGGAGAGGAAAGTTTCCAGCAGACAGCTCTGACAACCGGACCGAACAATCTTGCTGTAACACTCTCGTTTGTATATGTTTGTATTACTGTTTCTGTTAAAATATTTGTTTAACTCAATTTGTGTCTTTTTTTCTGACTCTAACAAGGCCACCACACTATCTATCGTTCTTCTTCGGTGGGGCGCTTACGTAACTTCCAGCCACCGAGTGGTCCCACGTGTGCACATATTAAGCCCAGCTGCATCGACCACCAGTTTACATGTCGGGCGCAGTCGCATATATAATGAAGGTCTGCTCACCGTGGCTACGGGGTCATCTTCCATGCCAACACGCACCTGGGTGCTCTTCTTATGAATACAAGTCCCTTTTGGTATCACCAATATTAATATCACCTGGAAGGAGTGCCCATTACATATTAGGATTATCAGAGATGAACTTCTCTTAGGGCAAAGGTTCCGTATTGATATTAAATTCGATTCAGACCTCTGGTGTATCCAGACGATAATCAAGAACTGCAATTAAAATTGGCACGTGACCGTGTGCTTAGAACTTTCGTTTTCCGACCATGAGTCCCGTGTTCGGTTTGTCAGGAAGTTCAGATAATTGGGTAGCGCCAATTCACAAGTCACTGTGATCGAGGATTTGAGTGTGTTGGCCTTGTTCAGACTGTTGACCACGCCAAATAATGCGACATCTCACAAAAACTGTAACTGAGGCCCGCTCAGTTTGGTAGCAGTATAAACCACAGCTGTTGAAGAATCATAAAATGCGTCGGAGCAGGCGTCTGCAACAACGATTGTCTAGCCGCCCTCGTAGACAGACATATTCGGATACGAGAGGACAGCCATGACAATTCGAAATATATAGACTTTTCTGTTTCGTTATTTAACATTGTTTATTGCGTCAACACTCGACATTAACAGTATTTACTAATAATAATTATACATTTTGTTTCTCACTGTTTTGTACACGTGTGAGATTCGTACACGTGACAATCGTCAGGCTCCGACTGAACATAATTTTCAGTCCTTGCCCTTGCCTGACGATTGCCACGTACCTGGAACTCACAGCTGTACCAAACGATAAGTAACAAAATGTATATTTACTATCAGTATAAATTTTAGATGTATTTTCCTTCGAGTATTGTTTTATTGCCACTAGCACTTACTGAATGCTTCATATATATATATATATATATATATATATATATATATATATATATATATCAGAATACGAGGTTGGTATAGATGGAATAAAATTCCAGTAAACGAAAACATTATTTATAAAAAAAAAAGTGCTCAATACAAAGTAGAGCGAATAATATTTAATTAAAATTTTAACATAAGTATAACATCACTACAAAAATAGCCATTTTGTTTCAACACTTTTGGTTTCTTGGCAAGTAATGGTGTTGATTGTAAAATAAAAAGTTTTTATTTTACAATCAACACAATCACTTCACAAGATACCAGAAGTGTTGAAACAAAATCACTATTTTTGTCGTGATGTTATAACATACTTATGTTATAATTTTAAATAGATATATATATATATATATATATATATATATATATATATATATATATTTATTTAAAAAATATGATTCCATCGCTAGATAAGAGTTCTCATGTTTCAAAACAAGAGCCGAAAACTTCAATATAATTATTTGAATTAAACTGAATTAAAGTACCAAGCTCTGTTCCATCTTCAAGCGAAATTTTGTTTTGAATAACTAATTTCTGAAATTTACGCGTTTTTATAAGCATATTCATTATTAAAATTAAAATTACTTTGGTAACGGCAAGAGTAAATATTTAAAAAAAAAGAAAAAAGAAAAAACGGGAGGCGTTAGGGTTAATAATTTGTATTAATATCTCAGTTACATTCAAAGAGGTCAAGTCAGGATAAGGTTGGGGTGTCTAAATTCAAAGCGGAAGATGACATCGTCTAGTCTGGTTAAGTGTCTATGGAGATTTAGTTATTTTCGTATTTTATTTTTTCCTGAAAGGGTTGTGTGTGTATAAGAAAAAGAAAAAAAAAACTATCATAATTCGCTAACATTTGTTTTTTTGACGACTTTATAGAGGTTTTTTTTTTTTTCGTAGGGCATTTTTATTTAGACTCTGGAGTTTAAAATTTGTATTTATTATTTTATGGTTTATTTGTTTTTTTTATGCGAATTATTCAATGCGAAACTTTGATGATGGCGACAAAAAACCGTTAACTCATGTTTATTGTTTAATAAATTTTCATTATTTAGAAACTTGATAATGTGTAGTTTTTCATGTAGGCATAAAGGGCATGGGTCATCCCAGGTTTTACAAGTTCTAGTTTTGTTTACAATTTTCCATTTTACTTTTGGTGTTTTATTCATTTCCTTCAAATGCCAAAAATATTTACATAGAGATGTATGATTTTATTTAAATTTATATTGTTGAAGGAGCTTTTATGCTGTCTCCATCTGGTTTTAAATTCATTCTTCGTAGACCCAATATATATCATATTAGTATTAGGACTCTACCTACTTCTGCGGTGTGACTTAAGTTTCGTTGTTTCACAAAGTCATCGGGCAGGAGACATAACTCGTGCCTGATGTGTTGGTAAAACAACGAAACTTAAGTCGCAACCCAAACATAGATA